CGAGAGATTTATCATAGGGCGATCGAGCGGAGGGGCGGAGGTGTGGGAGGTGTCTGCTCCGAGCCGTTAACCGCCGACGCTTCGAGGACACCCGCGGCTGCTGGGTCGCTGTGCCACCGCATGCGGCGGCTCCAGGGACCGCGCGGGGTGGCTGTGGCGAGATTTGTGTGCACAGCGCGGCGTCTCCCGACTGACCGATTGTGTTATATTCGCCGCCGCGTGAAGTGGAACGGCTGCTTAACAACAAGATCGTTGAATGAAGAGCGCTGTAAGCATCACTGTTATTTAAATATTACATGTACAGAAAAAGTAACTAATTCGCTTCCACGTGAAGTGGAACGGCTACGAAATGACAAGAAGGTTGTATGAGCGCTGTGAGCACTATTGTATGATTTAAATATTATTTCTTCAGGAAAAGTGAGATATGTTTTATTCACTTAGACAAAATTACTAAAAAACTTAAAAGTTGTTATCGCCACTGTTCAATAATCGTGAAAGGCAAAGATAAATCCCTATGAATAAAATAATCATAATCATGATTTTTTCGTTCACATTTATTTAGGAAGGTAAACTACATTAAATCTTATACATGGAAGCTAACGTTCTCTCACGACAAAATTTACGGAATATGATTTCTATAAAGGAACAAATTTGTGATGATAACGTCAGAGTTTCCAAATGTAAATTTTTCATTTGTTCTAAAAATCGCACTAAATTCACAATTTTGAATGTTACTTTCTAATTTAGAATCAATTTGCTACAGTTTTAATGATAGTTACAAATTCAAAAGCAGTAGGGACTAATCGTTTCATGAAATTTGGGAAACGGATATGCCATTCACAAAATATAAACTCTAAGTTGTTCAAACAAACGTGGGAATACAAATGTTTACACCAACCATTAGTAGTCACGATATAGATTAGTAGTGAAACAAAATTTAAGTGCCGAGAAAAAAAAATACACTCATAATTGGACAGAAAGTGTCAGTTCATTATGGTATTAATCTACTTTACAGGGGTTATAATTTTGTAGGTCGAATACGTATTTTTATGTATTAATATGTATGATGTTATTCGTTAGGTTAAATGATAGCAGTTTTACTGATAAGCGTTTTGGAATAAGAGTTAACGCGCGCAGCGGCGGCCATGCTGATGGCGGCGCGCGTGGTTGCGGAGCGCTGGAGCCGCCGCGGAACGACAGCGCGCGGTTGGGAGCGGCGCCACGCCCCCGCGCTCGGCCGCCGTAATTAGAAGCCCCAGGGGCTCCCTCAGTCGCGCCGCGCCGCCGCCGCTTCGCCGCCGCATCTGCCCCCGCGCCGCCCCCGCCGCCGCCTCCGACGCAACACGGCGGGCGCCGCTGCCGCCACCGCACGCCACAAGCAACCACCACTTCCACAGCCGCAGCCCACCGCCACCGCCTCAGCAGCACCACCACAGCAACCGCCACTACCACAGCTGCAACCACCGCCACCGCGTCAGCACCGCCAGCACCATCGCCATACCCACAGCCACAGCTCCGATTACAGCCACCGCCACAGCGACAGCCACAGCCACTGCTACCGCCACCCCCACTGCCATCACTACCGCCTCAACCATTGCCACAGCTACCGCCACGCCCATAACCACCGCCACTGCCACCGGCACAGCCACAGTGACAGTCACCACCACTGCCTTCATCGCCATCTTTATCATCACCACCGCCGTCATCACCCTCGCCAACATCACCACTGCCATCATCACCGCCACTAGCATCTCCACAGACCACCTGGTGCCGCTGTCTCCCCCTGCGCGTCTCCTGCAACCATCCCGCTGCCGCCGCCAACCCTCTCGCCACAGCCCAAAACACTGATACCACCGACGCCGCTCCCACTCGCACCCCGCCACGCTCCTGCTGGTGCTGGCGGGGCACGCAGCACGCCTGGGCTCAAGGCGGCGTGTGCGGGGGCGGCGGCGGAAGCGTCCGGAACGTACAAGTGGAGGCTGCGGGAGCCTCAGGGCCGGCGGGGGCCGTGGGTAGGCGGGAGAGGGGTTGGAGGGGGAGGGGAAAGGAGGGGAGAGCGAGGGGCATGGGTGCGTAGGAGGCGGCGCGGCCGGCACAGGCCATATTAGAGCGCCAATTGCCCTAATGGAAGGCGGGCGCGGCGCCCGCGTACCCGTCCGAAAGGGATCCGAGGGGTGGGGGAAGGGGCAGCCACGCGGCAAAAGAAGAAACGGAAGAGGACTCACATGTGTAAGGAGCGGCGGGGGGGGGG